CGACGAGGTTCCAACTTAATTAATTTTGAGTTTAAAAAATATTCACTTTTAGTATAGTTTGGCCATATTTTTTTTTTATTTTTTATTTTTATTTATTTATTTTTTTTATTTGAAGAAATTTTTGACAAAATTGGGGGCATTATATGATGAAGTTGGATGTATTATAGTTGAGAGTTTCAAAATGATATGATGAAATGTAATTATATTAACGTATAATAAACAACAAATAATTAGTTTGGGATCAAAATTGATTAAATTTGATCTTCTTGCACAAAAAGCAAAAAGTAGGTATACACTTTGGCGGTTTTGCTATGATGCCACCAGTTGGCTACATAATGTAGTCAACATTCTATATAATGCAAATAAACCGTACCATATTAATAAAATTATATTAGTATTATTTAAGTAATCAGAGAATATGATATGTTTATTTATTGTATATATAAGGTTGTCACAATTATGGAGCCAATTGTTGGCTTCATAGCAAAACCGTACACTTTGATATTAGAAGAAGTCTTAGAGAAAAAAAAAAAAAAAAAACTTTCTCTCTCTTCAAGTTTTCCTCAAATTCGTAAATCACTAGCCTTCTGATCTGGTTGTTGCCGCCTCCCTTCCGCAGGCATCGGCCTGTCGTGGCGCCAATTTCATGGGGGACAGACAAGTCTCCTTCTCCGATGCCCTACAACTGGCGTGGCGTCTCTCCGTTCCTGGTGGCCATGGCTAGGAGGGAACGCAGGCTTTACGGACGACGAAGACATAAAATACGGTCAACAGTCAACGCCGTAGGTCAACAGTCAAATTATTATTTAACTAATTAAAAAATGAAAAGATTAAATCTTGACAGACACCTTGTTTCTTATTTAATAGATAGGGTTGAGTCTCACATTCTCATTTTAAGAATAGTGACACATTCCATATATAGTATATACATTCATATACAATATTTTTTTTTATGTATTTTAGGAAGAAAAAAAAATAAAAAAGAAGTTGAGTATCGTACGCATAAATTAAAAAAAACATATTATTGAAGGTTAAATAATTCTAAACATTTTTTTATGTTTTTATATTGAAATAACTTTTCTAAATAATTAATATGTATTTTTTATGTTAATTAATACATTTATACATATTACATATATACATATATACATATTACCAAAAAAATAAAAAAATAAAAATTACAGGGCCCGTGCTTCTACAGACCCTGTGTAAATCCGCCCATGGCCATGGTGGTGCTTTATCAGGGTCCCGACGTCAGTTTGAAGGGCTTGCGATTGTCGTCGCATCCAATGGTCGGGTGCGGACGACTCTGAGTTCGTGGCTGAGTTTTCTCCCCGGGCCTTCCCATCTCTTGGTCCTGGCCAGGTGGTCCGACGGTGGGGGCTTTGGGTTGCAATCGACTGCTCTCGACCAGTTTGGTGTTGGGGAGTCTATTCGGCCGGATCTCGTCGTGAGGTTCGGGGTTCTTCTGGTAGGATGAGGTTCGGCTTGTATGTCCAGGTTTAGTTAAGCCTCGTATGCAAATTGCAGTTTAATGTTTATAGATCTGGAATGAGTCGTGGTTCTTTTTTCATGTGGGGACCGTTTGCGAGTGTGGCTCGAGTCCGAGGTGCCTGCTGTGAGAACTTACACAGCACCTGCTGTGAGTTATCTCCCCACCATTGGATCATGTTAAGTTAACATTAAATAATGTTAACTTAACATGATCCAAT